TTACAATCTTTTCTGTCGCCTTTATTTTTGTATAGATTGCTGATATATGCAGTTTTCCATTCTGGGGGTAGCTCTTCTCCTCTCAAGAATAAATTAAAAGTATAAGCCAATAGCTGAAATAGTTTGTCAGGGCCATATTTAATCAGTTCAATGGGTACTCCCCCGGTCCTGGAGCCTTTCCATTTTTCATAGCGTTGGCGTGTTTTTTAATTTCTTCTGGTGTTATTTCAGTTTCTTCGCGGTAGGAAATATCATATTTTTGGTAGCCAATATCTTGGAATTCTGTTCGATCTTCTGTCAGCATTTGTTCATAATATTCGACCCATAATTCTGGAGCTATTAGAGTTAACCTACTGCATTCTTTTCTAACTGTTCTACTACTTCTAGTTGTTTTCCAGGCTTCTTTACTTCTTGCTGTACCCATAAAATTTTCTACGGTATCGCAGGCTTTATTCCACATCTCATTTTTGGCTTTAATAACCTCTTTTTTTACTTCTTTGTTTAGGCTGTTGTACTGTTGGCGATAGTAAAGGTCCTTTATGGACCTTTACTAATGTAATAAACATGAAACTGAATATAAATTGTACATAACACTACACTAAAACAAAGACAAACAGTTTAAAATTATTTAAAAATTATTCTACTCTCTAGATTATTGTCAGCAACAGGAGAGAGAATGGTGTTCCATTGGTGATGGTGATATAGCATGCAAATTTATTATAAGGGAACTATTCAATCCATTATTGTCCAATTTTTTTCAAAATGAAATCAAAATTTCAGAATGAAATAAAAAGAGGTTTTATTTTAATAGAAATGTGTCAAATTAACGGTTTTTTTTGTAGCTGTGTTATTTTGACATATAATATACGCTGGGTATTGACGGACACGATATTTCATAAAATATTATTTATGTTAAAATTTTTCAACATTTAATATTTGACAAAACAACATTACCTCTCCATATTGGTTGTAAAATTCTAATAAAGAAGTTGCCTTAATGTTGGAAGAGCGACTGGACTATTGCCATTCACCAAAATCTGAATATATTAAACTAAATATAAATTTTTAGATTAAATTCAAATCCTTTATAAACCTCTTAGCTTATCGAATAAGTCTACACCACCCATTCACTTGTTATACATTTGCACAACGTTTGGTTGAGGGACCGCTATAATTGTTCTGTCTTTTCTGGACAATATGTTACAGTTTTCCATAGTGAATATTTCTGGAGTTAAAATCTTAGTTGCCATAGTATCTTCATTATTTTTATTCCAGCAAAAAAGAGTAAGCTTATTTTTCGCTATGTAAAGCGTGGAAGTTCTACGAATTTGATTTTTTATTTCTTTTAAGTGAGGCTTTTTTATTCCTGTCTTTTTTAATTGTACCATAAAGTGGATCTTTGATATCTCAACCTTGACAGTAGAGGTAAAGATGTAAAAAAATTATCAATAAAGATAACAGATTCTTGTGGTAAAAATCCTGTACACATTTTTTGGGTTACGGAACTTTCTAACGAGTTACCCTGTAAATTATTACCGCTTCCAGTATATATATATATATAATATATATATATATATATATATATATATATATATATATATATATATATATATATCCGTATCGGATGGATTTTCCTCGAATAAACTGCTTCATACAATGATGTCCATAATACGGTTCCATGGCTCCGTCCACTGACAAACTTCCGTTTACTGACTGGAGGTAATAATAAAAACGTTCATTTAGATGGTCAATTAGGCGTTGAAATTTGAACGCTTTATTAGTTTGTTGATACAACGTATTGTGGTTAAAGTGTAAAATTCTCTAAATCTGTTTCAATTTTTAGTATTACTAACTAAATGGGAGTGATAGTCCCCTCGACATTTCCAATATATTCTCCTAGAAGGCAATGGGTGTTATCCAGAGAAAATAAGGATGCCAAAGTATTTATATAAATTATCAACGGACAAAGAAGAAGATCAGAATTTTGTGAAGCTTACTTTACCGTTTCTAGACAAAGATAGGGTTCCATATTGTTTTTAAAAAAATCATTTATGACTTCGTTTGGCAGATTTTTTCTTCTTACTTACGATCGATTATTTTCATATGCTTTTTCCTTTTATAGAATATTGTGAAATTTCTGCAACCCACCTTTTTCTTTTGTTCCCTGATTTGTGAGTTTCAGTGACAGTTGTATTTTACAGCACTGTTGATGTACTATACATGCTTTGATATATTGTACCTTTGTCAATACTTTGACATCATCTTTTCATTTTTTCCAGTGTTGCTAACAATAATGTCCGGACTAGCGCGAAATATAGTTTATACCTGAATAAGTCACAATTAAATTAGTTCATTCTAAGCATATAGACTAGACGGGATATGTAGACATTCAGACCATAAAGGACATTTTTCATAGGAAGCTATTTTTTTTGTTGGAATCCGTTCAGGATGTGCCCAATATCGATAATCACTTTATGCGCCAGTCGCAAACCCTGTGCTAAATTTTTTATTCTGAACAAACAAACTGTGCTAACAAAATCTGAAAATAATTGAAAATTTCTCATTTTTTTGCTCCTATTTTCGTTTATAATTGGGAAAATATTGATCCTAGAGAAAAAAATTATATGAAATTAAAAGTTTCGTTATTTAATTTTCCATAATATTTCGTAATTAATTTAATTAGCTAGAATATTAGCTTTTTGCTAGAAATTAAAAATTTAATGTTTATTGTTGAAAAAATAGCAATAATTGTAAAAAAAAGTACAAAAAATGAAGTTAATCCTTTAAATGTTTTCAACTTTCTAAACTTGACTTACAAGCTCCATATTTCGTCTAAAAAAATTTTTAATATGTTCAAAACGTGTGCTAAATTTTGTTAAGATCGGTCGGATAGGTTTTGCATAATAATTTTGCAATCCAGCCTACTGGAAATAAATCACAAATTTTAAAATTTATAGTAGGCCCTAAATAAAGGCCTAAGATAGTTGTAAATTATTTTACATATACAGGAAGGCTCAAACTTTCAAACGCTTATTGTAAAATTTAAATCGGTTCACTAGGAGAGCCTAGAAAATTTTTTAAAGTTTTAAAAATGTTTTAGGTTTATAAACAAATTGAATAACTTTACGAGCTTTAAACATATCAACTTTAAAATTTATACACTTCAAGAACATTAGAAGACGCTTCTTTAAAAAAAAAGATACATTCGGCTTACTGGTTGCCGAGATATTGAAGGTCAAAGTTGGCATACATTTGCCGTGTAACCATAAATGATAGAGGGCTCGTTTTTAAACAAATACCCTCGTCTTGTAAAGTACTTTTTATATGAAAAGTTTTACGTAATGCGCTTTATGGAAAAATCCATAAAAAAGACAAATAAAAAACCGTTTTCGCGTAAAATGTCGCTCGGAATGCATGAGATAGGTGGTAGAAATGCTATGGGGACATACACTCTTGAATTGATGTCTCGGACGACTGGGATTTCAAATATCATATTTTAAAATACCATTTTTAATTTGCAAATTGGGAAATTTGCAATAAACAATTGTATGTTAAACAAGTAATTGCATTTCTTCTTCATGCATTTTTTTAAGCTTGCAATTTATACATTAAAGTAAATTGTTACTTTTAGCAAACAAATATATATTTATAAATTGTTAATAAATAATTTAAATTGGTAAAACAAAGCCGAAGGAAATTTTTTTTTTGCTGTAAAAATCAAACTTTTTAAAATAATTAACATTTAAAATAATTAACATTAAAAATAATTTATTTCTACAGTTTCATCATAATAATGACATTATTTGATTCGACAAGACGAGGGTATTTGTTTAAAAACTAGCCCTCTATAACTTATGGTTTTTTTTGTGCGTTTTGGCTTGGACAATTGTCATTCAGCCAGTCTCAATCAAGATAAGTTTATTAATGTGGTGAGTGTGTGTGTTTGTGTGTGTAGAGTAATTGTCTTGATACTTAGCAAAGTCGACGTCATTTTCTTTGCTAAGAGACGCTAATTGTATCCGAACGTCTGCGGTCCCTCTGGTGAATAATTTATGGTTACACGGCAAATGTATGCCAACTTTAACCTTAAATATCTCGGCAACCAGTAAGCCGAATGTATCTTTTTTTTAAGAAGCAACTTTTAATGTTCTTTAAGTGTATACATTTTGAAATTGATATATTTAAAGCTCGTAAAGTTATTCAATTTGTTTATGAGCCAAAAAAAATTTTTAAAACTTTAAAAAAATTTCTGGGCTCTTCTAGTGAACCGATCTGAATTTTACAAAAAGCGTTTGAAATTTTGAGCTTTCCTTTATATGTAATAAGATTTGCAACTATCTGAGGGCCTTATTTAGGGCCTACTATAAATTTGAAAATTTGCAATTTTTTCCAGTAGGCTGGATTGCAAAATTATTATGCAAACTATCTGACCGATCTTAACAAAATTTAGCACACGTTTTAAACATATTAAAAAGTTTTTCTAGGCGGAATATGGAGCTTGTAAGTCAAGTTTAGAAAGTCGAAAACATTTAAAGGATTAACTTCATTTTTTGTACTTTTTTTTCCAATTATTGCTTGTAAAATGGAATAACGAAACTTTTAACTTCTTATAATTTTTTCTCTAGGATCAATATTTTTCGAATTATAAACGAAAGTAAGACGAAAAAAATGAAAAATTTTTAATTGTTTTCAGATTTTGTTAAATAAAAAATTTTGCACAAAGTTTGCGACTGGTGCATATCGTGATTATCGATATTGGGCACATCCTGAAGGGATTTTAGCAAAAAAATATCTTCCTGTGGAAAATGTCCCATTCGAAACAAATCCCGCCTAGACTAATAACCTAACGCAACAACACAGTTTATTATTAAAGGATTTTTGTTTTATACGCTTTAAATGAAAATTGAAAAATTTCAATTAATAAAACGATTCAAATCTTAAAAATCTATTTAAAATGCAAAAGACTAAAATCTAAAAACATTGAAATTGTTTTATTTCAGGGCATTTTAGGTTCCGGCTTTGCACTAAAAGTTCAACAAAAGCAACGTCAAAAGCACTTTAATCGTCAAATTCCCGCAGCTGCAATGCTGATCCAATGTCTGTGGAGATGTTATGCTGCCGACAAAAGCTTCAACTCCACAGCAACTTGGCAAGTCTACCTCAGCGATCCAAATCCCCCTGCTGCCAATAACAACGCTGCAGGGGGAAGTGGCAGTAACTATAGCATGCCTTTATCAAAGGTAAGCGATAGTAATAACTATGTACAGCTTTGTTAGATAACAGTCTGTTGTTACTGAAATTATTATTGTTATGTTGGTTTTACTTCATGTGGTTTTATTATTAAAACAATTTTAAGGACTAAATCTGTACAAATACGACCATACAGTATTACTTAACCAAAGATGTAGTGTTAACAATACATTCTGTGTTATGCTAAAATTATTACATGCTAACAATTACCATACTTTTATTAACATTTATTTTTGTTTCTTATAATTTATTATTTATCCACTAGTTATCTTATATGATCGTATCATTCTACTCTTCTATTTCTTACCCAGTTTTTTGATGTTCTCTACCTTGCATCTACGTCGTATCTCTGTACTTCTAGCTGTGTCCCATAGTCTCGTAACATCAATTTTTTTAAGTTTTTTTTATCTATGCTGTTTCTTACATCCTTTTTGTCCTCTTGTATCAGGTCTTGTTTCTGCCGCGTATGTCATTATTGATCTGATGACTGTTTTGTAAATTCTGCCTTTCGTTTCTTTCTCGATATTCGTATTTCTCCATATTGTTTCATTTAGGCAGCCTGCGGCTCTGTTTGCTCTATTCACTTGATCTTCACTTGGTTTCGAGCTTTCCGTAGCTAGATAATGTAATGCCTAGATATTTAAACTCCATCACCTGTTCTATTATCTAACCTTTCAGCTCCGAATTACATCTTAGTAAATTAAAATATTAAATTTTCTGGCGGTTATATTAAATTGATACAGCATACGTTGTAAATCATCTTCACTTTAAGAGAGTAGTATTGCGTCTTTCTATCAGTACTTGCGACTCTCTATTAGCAGATTATTTTAGGTTGTTTTTCTCCTATTTGGTATCCTTTTTTAGTTCTTACTTTTTTTATTATTTCATCCATATTTAGGTTGAACAATAAATGACTTAATAAATCTCCCTGTCGTACCCCATTGTCAGTTTTAATAGGGTCGGTTAGTTCTTTTTCTACTTTTACTTTTATTGTGTTGTTTTGGTAGATAATTTTGATTGTTTTGATTATTCCTAGAGAGATCTCTCTTGCGTACAGTAAGTGAATAACGGCTTTTAATTTGATATTTTTAAATGTCTCTGTAAAGTCCACGAAACATAGATATGCTGGTTTGTTGTATTCTAATAACACAGGTCTGCGACATAAAAATTGTTTAAAATTGAATAAGTGATTTTTATAGTATTTTCAACGCTAATTTTGGGAAAAATAGTGAAAACATTCCATCACGTACAGTTATTCCACAAACTGCTTGTCTATTTTTAGCTTTTTTTCGATATTTTTATACATAGTTCCGTACTCTAGTGAGTTTGAATTTTTGTTTTTTGGATCTTTATGAACTGTTTATTAAGCCCATAGTACTTTTAATAAGTATAAAAAATACTTTAAGGTATTTTCAGTTACTTAGCTGTTTTTTTACTATACAAGTTGTATGTAAAATAAAGAGTTGATTAGGAGAAACCAGCATTATTTTCATGTCGGTACTTGTCCATTGCCTCCCCTCCCTCGCCATCCACTTACTGACTCACTGAGCATCTTTTATGTCAGTGCCTGTCTGCCACAGTGCCCATCTCCCTCTCTATCACCAAGCAGTGAGCTTCTGCTACCTGTTGCTGTTCTTCAGTTCACAGTATCTCTTCACTCTGTGCTGTTCACGTGCTGTGGTTACTAGTGATTTGTAGTAGTGATTGTGAGAGTAGTATTAAATGATATCTCGTGACACACGGATAGTTGGCAATAAAGTGTGAATCAAATAACTTTCAGTGATTTTTTATCGAACTACAAAGAACATAAATTCAAGGCATCAGCCTAAACAGATTGTTTTCTTGTGGTGTGAAGTTGTTTTATGAAAAATGGCTACCAGAGGATGTATCAACTCACCAGATTGCTTCTGCTACATTTGTGGTAACTATACAGTTAAAAAGCAACAAAGAAACATTTCCGATTTTCCGATTGAAAAGGTATATTTTGCCTATTTTGGTATAAAGTTGGGTGATCAAGACAAGTCTTGGGCCCCACACAAAGTTTGTTCAGTGTGTGTTGAAGAACTGAGACAATGGTTTCAAGGTAAAAAGCAGTCATATCGTTTTGGAATACCAATGGTTTGGAGGGAGCCCAAAAACCATAGTGATGACTGCTATTTTTGTTCTTGCAATGTTCAAGGTTTCAATTTGAAAAACAAAAAGGATATTTCTTACCCTAACATCAAATCAGCCATTCGCCCTGTTCCTCATGGACCTGAAGTACCAATACCCTCTCCTCCAGTTTCTTTGGATGGTATTTTAGATGACCACGAGCCATTGGCTCAGCTAGGTGAAAGTGAAGAAGACAGTGATGGCTACGATCCTGGCACAACCGATCCCGTTCCATTCTCACAATCTGAACTGAATGATTTAGTTAGAGACCTAGGTCTTCCTAAAGACTCGGCAGAACTTTTAGGGTCTAGATTAAAAGATAAAAATATGTTGGCTCCGGGTACGTCCTTTTCTTGGTATCGTTCCAGGGAAAAGAAGTTTGTATCTTTTTTCTCTCAAGAAGGTGACTTGGTGTTTTGCAGTGATGTTCCTGGACTTATGGCACGTTTCAAAATAGAATATGCTCCTGATGAGTGGAGACTTTTTATAGATTCTTCAAAAAGAAGCCTTAAAGCAGTGCTTCTACACAATGGCAATAAGTATGCTTCTATGCCAGTTGGACATTCTGTTCACTTGAAAGAATGTTATGAAAACCTCGAACTGGTTTTAAACAAACTCTGCTATTCAGAACATAAATGGACACTATGTGGTGATTTGAAAGTGATCTCAATGCTGCTTGGTCAACAAAGTGGTTATACAAAGTTCCCTTGCTTTCTCTGTGAATGGGACAGTAGAGACAGAAAGCAACACTACATTAAAAAAGTTTGGCCCTTGAGAAAAACCTTACAGGTGGGGGTTAAAAATGTTGAGAGGAAAAGCCTTGTGGATCCCAAAAAGGTATTACTACCACCACTCCACATTAAGTTGGGGTTAATGAAACAATTTGTAAAGGCGTTGCCAAAAGAAGGGGAGTGTTTCAAGTATCTTTGTGGACAGTTTCCTGGTTTATCCGAGGCAAAACTAAAGGAAGGAGTCTTTGTCGGACCAGACATTAGAAAACTGATGAGAGATCCCAATTTTATGGACAAAATGGAAACAAACGAAAAAGCAGCATGGACATCTTTTAAACTAGTTGTTACCGGTTTCCTAGGAAACAAAAAAGATCCTAACTACAAGACAATCGTCGCAGACATGCTCGACAACTTTAAGAAGCTGGGATGTAACATGAGCATTAAAGTTCATTTCCTCCATTCACATCTAGACTACTTCCCTGCAAACCTTGGTGATGTAAGTGAAGAGCAGGGTGAAAGATTCCACCAAGATATCAAGGAAATGGAAAGAAGTTATCAAGGAAGATAAAACGCCAACATGATAGTAGTAGCGATAGTAGGAAAAATTTAAAAAATTGCTAAAATTTTGTTATTATACCAAAAAGTACTTCATTTTTTGTGAGAAAACCTTACGTGATAGAAAAAAAATGGATTGCACTTTTGCAATCAGCGCTGCGTCAATTATGTTATTTTTGAGTTTTTCCAGCTTTCCTTGATGTTATCGTTTTCTAATATTTTATTCTCAGCGATATTCTCTGATATTTTTTTTCTATATAAATATTCTGTGGATTCCGTATTTAGTCCTTCGATTTTGATTTTTGTTTGTGTTAGCGCCGCTCTTTTGGATGGGAAGTATTTCAGAATTATTCTTATTTTACATAATACTAGGCTGTGGTCGCTACCTACATCTGCTGAGTTGAGGCATCTTACGTCGATTATTTTTGATGGATGTATATATCTTTGGCTATAAGACAATTTATCATAGGTCTTTGTCCACGGGTGTTATTAAATGTATATTTGTGTTAGGCTTTGCGGTATTTCTACATTTTCGTCTTTTTTTTAATTATCTGTTTTAAATGAAATAATATTCTAACTAACTAGGGATTTTGATTTTATTTTTAAAAGTATCACTTTAGTTAAATTTGCTCATATCAAGATATTAGTTTTGCAAACTTTTATAGTCTAGACAATTTAAAATTGTTTCGTATAAAGGTATCAGTGGCTTATATACAACAATTCTGACAATTAAGCAATAAACTTCTTTAAAGTCTACTAAAAGTTTTCGAACTTTGTTCTGTTTCTAAATTTTTCCGACCGTCTGCCTTGCTGTAAATTACTTTACTGAATTACTCTATATTCCAATTACTTTATAATTTACGACTGCTATTTGTAGATTTTACCATATACAAAGGAGTAGAAGAGCCCATTTGTATAACCCAAGAGAGTTTAGTTTTTTATGTACGTATGTATTTATTTCGTTGAAAACATACAACCAAGTTCAGCAAAAGATATTAAGAAATATTACCTTAGCCCATTGAAATGTTACATTTTATGCCTAAGCGTGCATTTTTCAAACTGGATCCTGATGCTGTTTGTAGAACATATGATTGGTATATTTTGTTTAAATTTAAATCCGGTACCGGTATCTTGTGTTTAAATTACTTAAATAATGACTTATATATATTTTGGAAATTTGGTTATAAGATTGATAACACTATTACGTTTCTGTGGATCCATTCTTTCAGTAGGTTGTTGCCGCCTTAGATCTTTTTCACTTACACCAATCTGATCAGTTATCTTACGAACAGTTATAATTTTTTTATTACTTATGTTTAATGGTTGAAGAAAGAACAGTTTTCGAACTCGATTATTTAAAAGTAATATTTCTGTACTGTAGCTTTTATTTTTCTCTGGCAATTTTGAACTATCTACATTCTTCTTTTTTATACAGAAAGATAAAAAGCAATTTTAAAGATCATAAGATACCAGTTTGTAAAAGCTTTTGAATAACTGAACTCGTTTTTCTTCAGAGATGCGATCGTTTTCGTTGCATTTATATCTGCAGTTATAATTGTACTCTTGCACAGAGTGTGCGGTATGTCTTT